TGGTGCTGCACTGGTTGTGCTATTATCACTTTTTTCTCTTCTCTCTCTCTCTTTTTTCTCTTCTCTCTCTCTCTCTCTCTCTCTCTCTCTCTCTCTCTTTGTCTGAATGTGTTGCTAATGGCTAAATTTGCCGTGTGTGTGAGTTTGGAGCAAGTTTTTATCAATGATTTACTGACTAACGACGAGCCTGCTGGCCAGAGGTGTCAAAAGTATTCACATTCATTACTCAAGTAGAAGTATAGATAGGGTTTAGAAATACCTTTTTGGAAGTAGAAGTATCATCTCAAACTTTTTAAGGAAAAGTATAAAAACACTGGTTTTAAAACTACATAAAGTATAAAAGTAAAAGTAATAAACATTTTAAAATTAAGAATAAAAGCTTAGGCTGTGCCACAGGGTTTTATAGCGTATATAGCATATACCCCCCTCCATTTTTCTTTTAAAGTCAATAATGAGTATAATGTTAAATTAAAATGTTAATGTTGAAAATTTTTGGCTTAACTGACTAAACTACTTGTTTCAGCCACAATCAGGCTACAAGCATCTGCTACAGTATGTCCTGCTGGAATGTGATGTGATTTGTGTCATACAGGTGTGATGGAGTGAGTTCAATCCAATAGGATGTCAGAATGGTTTATATTTACACTTCTCATCTACCAACAATCAAATTCACTCTATCCATGAGCCCCATGTATCTGGATAGATTTCTATATTTTAAATTTTTTTCTGAACAATGAAAAGATGGAATAAAAACAAATCAAATTTAAATAGAATTGAAATACTTCTTGCATTATTGAAAAGTAAGGAATAGAAAATATAGATAACTGAATTAATATGTAAGAAGTAGAAGTAAAAAGTATGGGCTGGAAAATAATGACTCCACTAGTATAAATAACCAAAATTTCTACTTGACAGTCACAAAGTATTTGTGTTTAGTTACTTGACATCTCTGCTTCTGGCTCAGCGGTCTAACTTTTTGAAACAAGTCACATGACCTACCTTCAAGAGACGGCAGGGAAGTGGTGAGGGAGTCAGATCACGTGATCAGCTTGAATCCTGTATCCTGTGGCAACCGGTTGTTGTCAGCCATCATGAGGCAGAGTCCGTTCTGAAGGACACAAGACAAGAGACAAATGTCATTGATTTCCAGTGGTGGGCACAGTTCCTCTAAAGCACTAAAGCACTAAAATGGGAACTAATTTCTTGAATAGTGCTTTAGGGCTTTTGCTATTTTTAAAAAATCATTAGTGGATTAGCACTTGCTAAACTTATGGGCTAAATTCGCTGCCTCAGTTGGTAGAGCTGATGCCTCTCAGTAAGAATGTTGCCCGTTCAAATCCCGACCTGGAGACCTTTTTGGGTAGAGTTTGCATGTTCTCTCCGGGCACTCCAGCTTCCTCCCACAGACCAAAAATATGACTATCAGGTTAATTGATCACTAAATTGTCCCTAGGTGTGAGTGAGAGAGTGAATGATTGTCTCGTTTATCTCTTATGTGTCCCTGTGATGGACTTGTGACCTGTCCAGGGTGTACCCCGCCCCTCGCACTGTGACTGCTGGATATGAGCACCAGTAACCCTGAAAGGAATAAGCGGGTATCGATAATGGATGGATGGATGGAAATTTAGAAGCAATAACTGAGGTCTATAAATGTTATTGATCAACATTATTGTTCACAGTTGAGGGCGAAAGCTGTCATACATTTTGTTCAAACGCGTGTCACTYATCTACAAGGTCAAATGTCAAACTCGAGGCCAGCAGGTGACTCCCATTTGGCCCACCAAGGGCACTAAGTGACAACATTCAGCACACAGTAAATATTGTCTCATGTTGACTGAAAAATGTTTCATGTGTCAACTGGACTATTTTGGTGCTTTGGAATTAGCTTTTGTTAAACCTTTCAGTGCATTAGTGCTTTAGAATTAGGGGACCTAAATATTTGAGTTAGTGTTTTAGAATTATGAGACCTAAATATTTGAGTTAGTGCTTTANATAATAAGAGTTTCAGTCTTGTTTGCATTTAACTGCAGGTAGTTGTTGTTCAGCCATATTTTGACTTCTGACAGACAGTTAACGAGTTCAGATAGTTTGAAGAACTCAGAGGGTTGAAAGGAACAGTACAACTGTATGTCATCAGCATACAGATGGTAGGACACATTACTGTAATGTTTTAAAATACCTCCTAAAGGGTACAAGTACAAAAAAAAGAGGATTGGGCCCAAAACTGAACCTTGGGGTACCCCACAAGACAGTGGTGCAACATCAGAGTAAACCTGATTYAWAAAAACAGTAAAAGACCGTTCAGATAAATAAGAGGTGAACCAGTTTAACACAGAGCCAGAAATACTAAAATTATCTCTCAGTCTGTTGATAAGAACACAGTGATCCACAGTGTCAAACGCTGAAGTTAAGTCCAATAAAACCAGTACAGTGTAGTTTTTTCACTGAAGGAGTTAAAAAAGCAAGGTGCTGCCTGATTACAGGGATTTTATCATCAGGGGTGATAAGAGTTTCAGTCTTGTTTGTATTTAACTGCAGGTAGTTGTTGTTCAGCCATATTTTGACTTCTGACAGACAGTTACTGAGTTCAGATAGTTTGAAAAACTCAGAGGGTCGAAAGGAACAGTACAACTGTATGTCATCAGCATACAGATGGTAGGACACATTACTGTAACATTTTAAAATACCTCTGAATGAACTATTAGATCTATTTCAATGAAGCTTTTAGGAAATAATTAATGGATGTACATCTACAGCTGTTTAGTTTTTGGAGCCAAAAAGACCATCACAGCAGTTGAACGCAGAAAAAGAAAAAAAAAATTGTCAGTTATACAGACATTCTAATTTAGCAATTGTTGCTACTGATCGAATAATTTAGCATTAACTGTAGAAGTCAAATCTCACGAGGTTTTTATTTTATTATTTGTGGTTTGACTAAAACATCTGCAAGTCAACTATTTCTGAACATTGTTTAAAATTGTTATGAAAGGTGATATGCATTCCTTCAAGAAATGCTCGGAAAATACTTCAGGAATAAGAAATTATCTAAAAAAATAGATGTTTTTTAAAAGGCTCCTGTTTTTTTGAAACAATAAGAATATTTCCAGCCTGATCTTTTTACAGCAAGATTTCCATGAATAAATAATGGCACCAGTGTTTTTCTAAGTGAAATGAATGCGTGCGTGCGTGCGTGCGTGCGTGCGTGCGTGCGTGCGTGTGTGTGTGTGTGTGTGTGTGTGTGTGTGTGTGTGTGTGTGTAACTGAGGGGAGAGTCGCATCATAACACATCGCTGAGCAGTGAACACCCCCGACTGTCGCCTCCTCTGCTTCCAAGCTGTACGCTCTGCCACCCACCTCAATCTCTCATCTCAATCAACACTCCCTCCCCCTTTTTACTCCCCACCTTCACCATCACCCAGGTCCACCCCCACACCCCACACCCCCACCCCCATCCTGCATCATTTTCATAATTCCACCTCCCTCTCCCCCCTCTCTTCCTCAGTTGCTCTTTTTCTCCTCTAAGACCTCCTGTCGTTTCTTGTTTCTCCCTGCTTCCAGTGAGCTGCTCTCGTCCTCTCTCTCGCTCCCTCCTTCCTGTCTGGCCATATGGTGGCCTTCCCCTGTCATCTCTCTGAACTCACCAGCAGAAAACAGCAACACAAATGGTCGGTTAGAGAATACAAACATTGCTTTTTTTCCCCTTTCTCCTTCATATTTACTACAGACGTAGAGATTTACTGAATAGCCTGTGAATTATGTTTTACTTATAGGAAAAAGATCATGTAGGCATTTAATTCCACTTTTTTTGATGAAAGRTGAACAGAAAACAACTGTTGCAGATGACGCAGATATACTTTTTTTATTTTTTAAATTACTGTTTTTTTAACAGCCTGATTTATACCTTTTGGTGAAGAGTGGCAACTAAAAAAAAAATCCAGTTTTCTTTTCTAAATTTTCACAAAACATTCAAATTAGTAGCGTCAATAGGAACACAACGTTTTGCTCTAATGATTTGATTTTCTTATTTTCTTTGTTTTGTGCTTGTGTTCGGGATTTTTACAGCATTGACTCTTATTGTCATTTTTGCAGACATCTAAACAAACTGTTGAAGGGTTGTAAATATTTCGCTTATTTATTTTAAGAAACTTGCAAAAAATGAGCATTTCTGCATTTGGAGGCAATAAAAACACGAAATTTTGAATTTATCAAATTTTTTAAATGTTTTTCCTATGAAGAAGAACTGTGGAAGCCCATTTCCGCCACCCTGATAAAAAAATAAAACTTGTATCTCATAATTATGACTTAGCTATCTCATAATTATGACTTAGCTATCTCATAATTATGACTTAGCTATCTCATAATTATGACTTAGCTATCTCATAATTATGAGATACTATCTCACAATTATGAGATAGCTAAGTCATAATTATGAGATAGTATCTCATAATCATGAGATCCTATTGTGTCTCATTATGAGATTATGAGATAGTTTCTCATAATTATGAGGTAACTAAGTCATAATTATGAGATAGCTAAGTCATAATTATGAGATAGCTAAGTCATAATTATGAGATAGCTAAGTCATAATTATGAGATAGCTAAGTCATAATTATGAGATAACTATCTC